CATCGGGGAGATAAAAGTTTGCCGTTGCAAACAAACAGCGCTTCCATGGGACAGCAAAAATGGAAGACCGATTCAATCCTTTCGGTGAAAAGACTGACACAGTTAAGAAGTGATGGACAAAAAGCAAACCAACATGGGGTGATCGTTATGGGACGAAACAGAAGAGGAGTCCGGGTTGACGAAAAGTTACGCAGGTGAAACCTTATCTGGGTTCATCGTATGGATGTTGGATATGTACAGCGAGAGTATATCTTTGGTCTTAAGAGGAGAACAGACTGATCACTGGTAGAGAAAAAACAAAGTGGGATGGTTTGTGATTATCCATTCAAGTACGGGGCTGCCTCTGGTAGGAGAATGAGGCAAATCGGACGAGCCAAAAGAAAACAGAGGGAAAATGCTTGCATGGTTGAAGTCACTAACAGCCAAATGAATACCCTCTTTTAATATTGGAACCAAAAACGGGATGTAATGATCAAAGAAAGATACATGTGACTGGAAGCACGAAAGAGGTATGTACACGTTAGCAATGATTGTACTGTTATATCGGGAAAATCTGAGATGACAACGAAGGGATAAATAGTCAATGCATTTTTCAGAATAGCTGAATACCACTTCAGAATTGCCACACCACGAAGTATTGATGTACGTTGCCACACCGCCTTCAGTTTTGTCTTTCCGCTGTGTTGTCTATCCTGCCGGTTGCAGTCAAAGCCATTTATCTGCACGAGAGCATCCTCAGCGTTTTAATTTAACCTTCCCAACAAAGAATATATATGACGCGTTAAGTGGACTAGAAATCAGCCTATTTAATACATGCAGGCGGTAAACGCTGGTCCGGTTAGATTCAATATGCTTTTGTGATCCCGCTTCAGTGAATCCATTTTTTCACAAAACGCTGATCAATTTTGTTGGCCTGAATGTCTTTCCTTCTGGGATTGACCATTCCATTGAATTGGGACACATTAAGCTTCAGCCTACCGGAACTGTTCTTTCTCTGGAATGAGTCATTCGAGCCTTTCGGAGGGTGTTTTTAGTACTAAATAATGTCGTCGGCCCATGACTTTTTAAACGAAGACGCGATCGCTTATTTTCGGGTGTTTTGTTCCTTTGTCCCAAAATGCGTTAGGTGTAAATGTATGATTTCCAAATACACTGATCGTTGTTATGGATAAATAATATCCTCATGTTCCTTTCAAAATCTTCGGCTTACCCTTTGCTTTATCCCATCCATTCCATCGATCTTTACCCAATGCAGCACTGAGCGAATGGAAACAACTAACATGTCCTTGGCTTCCCAACTGCGTGGGACCACACAGCAACAGGTCATGCTCAATTCCAACGCAATTTTTTACGAACGTTTGTCCCGTAATCTGCAGCTTACTCTGGCTGGTGATATTCAGCTCGGTCGTCTTGGCGGTTTGACTGTTGGTCATGGAGATGTGTTCATACTGAGCTCGGACGATCTGAATCTAGTCATACACATTGTTGAAGTCGGAAATGGCTTAGTCACCTTTCAACTTCGTGGACTGGAATTTGTCGGTGAGTGCACCTTGTGTCAGATTTCTGCTTTTATCCATAAGGATTTCCCTCCCTCATTTTAACCGTCCTTCAAATTGAATTCTGAATATTTTTTCTTCCATGTATCAGTCGTTCTTGGATTTGTATTGTTGTGTATTGTGTTATATTGAAGCTTTGGCAAGCTGTATACCAGCTTTCATCCTAAAGGAGACCATCGCCGAGGTACTGAAAAAAGGGGGAAAAGTGGGACATTAAGTGTGCAGAAGTGTGAGTTAACTATAAACACTCCTTGTCGGTCAATATCCGGGCCAGATAAGGTACCAAAGAGTTTCTATAGACGTAAATCCGAGATGGACTGTGTTTGTGTTCGAAACGGCTGGAAAGATGGGGTTTGCATCCACATAGACCAGTGTGTAAAGGATGCGTGTAATCAAGTAAAATATTGTCAGTCAACGTCAGGCACGCATCAATATGAGCATCACAGGTGCTTCATTGAAGATTCCCATTGTAACATTTGAAAAAACACGAAATGACGAACAAGCTCGTTTCCCATAACTTCCTCATCTAGCTAATGCAGTTATAGAAATAGGTAATGGGCATGTCACATT